TTTATTTCCTTTTATTTTATGCGAATGTTTTTAATCAAATTTTTCCTCCAAAATTAATTAAAATTTATTTTTTCTAAAGCCATCATTGATATCCGCTAAAATTCTAGTAATTGACTTCAGTTTTCATAATTTTTAGTTCACATTTCTTCAGTAGAATTAATTTCTATTGTTCTATTATTATTGTTCTATTGTTCTATTGTTATTTAAAAAACGCAGCAAGCTATTGTTATTGTTATTTATTTATAACGAAATTTAAAAAATTATTTCAGTATGTGAAAAAAATTTTTATTAAATATGGGCTATAAAATGAAAAAATACAATGGAAAAGAATTAACTTTATACTTACCAGTGAGTTTTTTGGACAAAGCTCTTAGTTCTTATCAAAAGATTCTCATGATAATTGGAGGAAAAAAACTTGATAAATCCTAATTCCTTAATTTTCTTCGGTCTTTTTTTCTTGATTATTATTTGTTTTATTCAATTTTTTTGAAAAAAACAGTTTTATTTTCAGTGATTTATCTTCGTTTTGGGCGAAAATTTTTTCAAGACAAAAAATATATCAATTTTTATTTTATAAATACATTTTTATCCATTTAAAAGTTTATTTTTAATATCCATTTTCTTTTACTTATTTTGACGAGAAGGATCAAGCAAATCGATCCAATAGTCATAATTAACAATGGTTATGTATAAGGAAGCGATATTTTGGCTAGCGATATTAATAACTAAATTAGCATTAAAATAGAAGAAAGCATCATAAATTTTATGCATCTTTTTTTTCTGAGCAAAATTAGATTCACATTTAATGAACAAGCCGAAATCTTCCCTCTCGTAGACCACAAACATCTTCATTCTTTTTTCCTCTTTATATTCAATCAGGAAATTCAAGATTAGGAAATCAAAAATATTAATTTTGTTAATATTAATTAATCATATGTTTTCTTATGAAAATTAATAATAATAACAACAGTATTTTACAATAGTTTTATAATTTAATATTATTATAATGATAATAAATAACAATAATATATAATAATATCAATAAATCATACGTTCAAGCATTAGCATAAACCTTTCAGTATTTTATTTATATTATTATAATTTATTTATATTTGAAGAATTTCGCATGTTTCATATATAATGGATAGTAAATGAAATCACTGAAATTAATTTTTATTGAGTTAAATTTGTTACTGTGTTTACCAATTTTTTTATTTATTTATTTTAAGTATTAATAATTAAAATTCTATTTAATGATTGAAAATTTTCGTTGAAGAGAACAGTTTTTATACAACTATTTATCCGAAATTTTTTTAAGGTATTTGTCAAATGAAATACTCTTTGGTATTTTATTTGTTTTTGTCAGCTGTGTTCAAACTGTAAAAATTAATTATTTTAATAAATAACGATGGAGAGAGTTTTCATCAGAATTTAAATTAAATTATTTACATTATTTAACAATGAGTCGAGTTTTTTCAAAATATTTTTAATTGATTTAAATATCGTTTAAACTTTCATTTTTGCGCTTTCATTTTACAAGATTCAAATTTATAATAAATTTATAATAAATAATAAATTTATAATAAATAATAAATAAAAAGTTGTTTAATGCTCATTATTTCTGGATAGGCTCACTCCACTGGCTGTAGACATGGGACATGGGCCAGAGAACCACTTGATATGCAACAGATGGGCATGCAGAATGGGTCCGCAATAACAATCACCCGTATTTTTCAAGACAAACTTGCCGTAAGCAAAGGCCAGACTTAATAATATACACAATAGCGCCGTATTGCCACTAGCAAGCCAGTTTGAAGCTCGCCCACTGAATCGTCATAATCACCCGTATTTTTCTTTTAGCAGCACACACCATTTCTGATTCGGTTGATTTCGGCTGATTTATAGGCTGGAAACGCTTTTAAACGATTGGCTAAAAGCACTTTTTTCCGAAATTTGCTTTTACGAAAAATTTTCTTTCAAGAAAATTTTCTGTTTGCTACAGCTTATTTAGTTTTCAAAAATCGATATTATGGATTCAGCATAAATACATAAAAGTGCCATTTGTCATGAGATAATATTTTTGTTTCTCATAAATTAAGGGCAATTTATTTGTAAAAATTAGAATTTCTAGGAAAATGCTCAATGAAAATTTATTAAATTCCTAAAAAGTCCCCCTTTTTCCAAATAAATTTTCTCCTAAGAATTTCAAGTTTTTTTTGAAAGGAAAATCTTTTAACTGTTAATTGGCTAAAGAATTTATTGAAATTAAATAAAAAAATCAATTTCGCATTGAAATTTTCATTTTCTTTGTTTTATTTTGCGAAATCAAATAAACCGTTCGTTCAACTTCAGTTTTTTCGCTGAGAATTATCGTCCATGAAACTTTTACATTGCATTTGAATACGTCGAAGACGAACGAATCATTCACATCGTTCATGGTTAAAGTTACTCGAGTCGCGTGAAATAACCAATAACACAAATTTCAGCTCTCCTTTATAGACTTCCGAGATATTTATTTATTCCCTTCGTTTCTTCTTTCATCGCGTTTCATACGGTAATTTGTCTAATAGTAAATATATTTACGCACTCAAAGAGAGCCAGCCAAACGTTAATTGTTCTGAAAAACAGCAAAGACAGCAGCGACAACTATTCATTAGTAATGTTATGTAAGTAAATAGGCGGTCGGTTGCTAAATGCCCGGCCGAATGCCTTGTTTTTTTATTGTAGAAACTGTATCATTACCATCTCCATCTCAGCATGTTCGCTTCGCACATGCACTTTGCGCATCATTTTTGAACACTTAATGCCATTAAAGTAAAAGATAATTTAATTTCTAATCGAAATATTCATCATTTCCTCTCTTTGGTTTGCTCGCCTCTAATGACTAATAGTTATATTGAGAATTTCGAGAATTAATTGTCCTAAATAATGAATAATGAACGATTAGGACAATGATGAAGTATTAGAAGCACTTTGAGGTACTTTCACCAGAGAACCACTTAAAAATAGGTGAACTTGGATTATCTCACTAGGGTTTTACTTTTAATGACAGTTTAACTACTTTCGATGGGAAAATCTATGCAATTTATTATAAGCGACGATTTTACACACTTCGCGTTTTTACAATAGATTTTATAGTATTTTCGCTACTTTTTTTTTGTTCGAATTTTTATGGCATATTTTGTAATATATAAATAAATCACCTTGGAGTTTTTTTTCAAAATTTTGAATTTTGGTTCTAAAATTTATAATTTATAATTGCGATATATAAATTTATAATTTATAATAAATTTATAATCTATTCAACAAAATGCTTTGAAAAATTTATGATTCGTCTTAAGCGAGGAATTTTATTTCGCCAGAAAACCTGAAAAGAATGCGTAAAAAGGGAAGATTTGAAAAAAAAACACGTTTTGATTAAAGGCTTCTTCTCCTTATTGGTTAAGTTGGTACCGCTGACTAAAATGGTGAGGAGCTTGGTAGAAACTAAGAAATATTTTAATGTAATGGTTTTAAAATTAAAAAATCTCAAACGTTTTTTGTATTACTTATTATTATAGAAGAATTTTCTTTTCTGTGCTTTGAACAATTAAAAAAAAACGAAATAACAAAAAAATATGATCATTTTTTTACACCATTAGTACAACTTTATGTTTGCACTTCAATTCATTTCAGTGAGGTTTTTTGATGAAAAACAATTAGTGGAGTTCATAATTGAGAAAAAAAGCGATGATTATGATAATACCGTTTATAATCCAGAAAAAAGACAAAAGCCCTTAGAGATATACTTACGACTTGTATATATTAATTTCAGAGCTCCTGCATCCAGAATTTTATATCTGTAAATGACATGGATATAAGTAGTGAAAGAAATGTTTATTTTGTGGACGATGGACGAACTAATTCACGAACACGTTACCATCCTATAAATATTCGGCGTCAATCTTCTATTTTAAATAGTAATATTATTAGAAAATATTTTGAAATAAGAATTAATTAAGCTAATTAATTTGGATTTTTTGAAATATCAATAAAAAATTTTAAAATTTAAATATAAATTTTAGTCTTAGAATTTGCTTCGTTTTGGAAGGTAAAGTATATAAATAAAGAGGAAAAGTTGAATCGTTACCTTTTAAAGGAAAAGCAAAAATAATCTAAGCTATAACCCAGTCGTCTTTCATGTTCCATTGTTTTTAAATTGGATAAATATGGGATAAATGGGATAAGCGAAAAATGATGCATTCGCTTTTCGAAGTGCTAAAAAAATAAATACCATTTGTGCAAATAAAAGAAGAATAAGTTAAATTTATTTTTCGAAATTTTTATTTGATGAATTGTTTGGAAAATTTTTTTCTTAGCTAAAAATTTTAAATTGAAAAAAAAGAATTTAAAGATTTTTTACGAGGATTTGTGAGTCGTTCACGAAGTGAATCAATGGATAATAATCAAAATAAAAAAATTATTCAACCGTCAATAGAGAATAAAATTATTAAACGAGTTCAGGTATTGCCTTATTTCTTCTTAAGCACTGCACTACAACGTGAATCCCCTTTATCATATACAAAGGATTCTTTTCATGTTTGCAATAAATAGCACGCATCATTTCTGGCTTGGCTAGTCACATTGTTGTCCATTAGAGTTGTCCATTAATTCGTAGACTTTGATTCGTTTGATTCGTAGACTTAAGTTAGATGTTAATACAGCTTTTCAAGTCGATTTCAAATACTAGTTGTGGATAGAAGAAATTCAATTTGTTCTTTTATATTTAAAAATTTATTTTTATTTTTGTACAATTACAGTTGTAATAATTTTTTGGTGCAAAATTGCAGATATTCATCTATTATTCAAAATCATTTTTAAATCTTCACTTGAGTAGTTAGGTCTCTTTCTTTCTTCATAGTTTATAACACTTCGGAAGTTTATATGTTCCCTTTTACATTATTAATTTCTCGTGTCAAATTCAGATATAATTTAACTATTCGTGCAGTAATTTTATTTCAATGATTGAAACAAATCCTTCCTCCAATAAACATCATGAAAAAGTCCAGGTGATACTGACGATTTCATTTCCAAATTCAAGTTCCACCGAGTTGGCCATAGCCTAACCTGAAATGATGAACACTATATGAACACATAAGAGAAATAATTAACCTAATCACTTACCATAAAGCATTATTAATTTTATGTCTTAGGCTTATAATAATAAATGGTAATAGTGATAATAACAATAATAAAAAATAATAACAGTAAATGATAACATATGTTGTGTAAAAACTTAGAAAATTAAAATAAATTATTTTTGCTCCATAAATATTCAGAAAATCGTCAAAAAAATTTATTTTTATTCTACTCTATTTTTTGTATTAATTTAAAGTTTTTCATAGTAAATTTTAAATTCAAGTCGCTACATTGTTTGTTGATAAAAATTAAATTAAATTAAATTAAATTAAATTGTGCAATCAAAATTTTCAAAATTTTATAAAAAAATGAAAATTTCATAAAATCAACAGTTCATAAATTTAAAATTTAGAAATTTTTTAGATAAAAAGTTGTCCTGTTGAATCAGTTTATGATTTACGAGAAGAAAGTGAACTCGATGATGTATATAACGATTCATTTGCATTTAGACGACCTCGATCTAATAGCACGGTTTCATTCTTTGAATTACTAAACGAATTTATAAATGCATGCTGAGGAAGCGATTTGCATGAGGATAGCAGTCTGGAAAAAAATCATTTCTTTCTTAAATTAACCCATTTGCGAAAAATTTATTTTAAGAAATAATATATTTTTTTAATATTATTTTAGAGATATTGCTTAGATGCAAATTTATTCGAATAATTTAAATAAATTAGAAATTATTAAATTAATTTAAATTAATTTTGCTTAAAATTTTGATTAATTTAGTGGGTAAAATTTATTAATTTTTTCTGATAAATATTTAATTAACTTAAACAGATTAAAAAATATTTTTTAAAAATGTTTTTTTCTAGAATAAATTTCAATTTAAATTTATTAATTTATCGCTCAATATTTAAATTGGTTTCGATTGGTTTCGAAGTAATTTAAAATTTTTTAAGGATTTATTAATTCTACGAAAAACTTCCCGACCGTTGTCTGTTGATGTTATTGGACTCGTTGGTTAGCATTATTTATTATATGTGTGTTTCTTATATAATTATTTATTTATTAGCTATAATTATTTATTCAGTTTTATAATCCTTTTCAAGATTTAATTAAGTGAGATGGATAAAAAGGAAAGATTAAATGCCATGAAATATTCATAAATACTTGAAAATAATTGTAGTCAGGAAAAATTCCTGCGGGAATTAAAAATTTTGCACTCAGTATACATTGAAGAGAAATTATATATATCTATATATTTACGCGTAAATGTGACTGAAAAAAAACCAAATGGTTATTTTCTATTATTTTACCATTCGCTGTATTTCAAGAAAGTTAAAAAACAGCTTCTTCTAAGAAACAGCATTGTTGCTCGGTTTAACTAACTTTATTAGCTATTAACATATGGCTCCCTCGCTCAATATGGCCCTTCTCATGCAGTTGGTTGTCGCAAAGATTGCAACAACTGGAAAAAAAAGACGAATTTCTTAGTTTTTTAATTAATTTAGTGCTTAATCCATTAATCTATTGATTTTTCTAATTTCTAATCTAATTTTATGAGAATTCATTTATATTTAATGAAATTTTTTGCAGAAAAGAATGGATCGAGTTTCGATTCAATATTATCACAAAAATGTAGAATATTTTTAGAATATTTTTTAAAATTTTAAAAATTTTCAGACAATAATTTAAATCCTTATAAGCAATATATGAAAGTTGTTGATTGTTATGCATTAGCTCCACATACTGGTTCGATTCTATTAATTGATATGAATATAAAGGTTTTTTGCATATTTAAATTGGTTTTTTTTTTAAAAGTTTTCCTTTTTATAAATCTTGGGAATTTTTTTGCTATAAACTTTTAAACATCTTTTATCTCTCGATTTATTTTAATTAATTGATTTAATTAAGTCGTTATCACCACCGCGGACAACTTTTTTCGCTTGAAATTTATTCTTTTCTTCCAAAAGGTATTTTGAAAAATACAAAAAAAAGAAAAAACAAAAGCAATAAAAGTTGATTATTTATTGAACAATTTTTAAAAACTTTAGTTTAATTCTGCTGCGATTTATAAAATTGTTTAAGTTATCGCTATTTTTAAAAACCAGTGGCATTTGATCCTTCAATTGTCTTTATTATTTATTATTTCTAATTGCGAAGCTTCATTAGCAAAATCCATTGCTTAGTCCATTAATAATATCTTTCACAGCAATAACAATAATAAGAATATTGGCAATTATAATGACAGGAAAAAATCAAAGTAAATTCCAAAATAAATTCGGAAATTATTAAAAATTTCAATTGAGAATTATTTAAAAAATTAACAATGATTGATAAAATTTAAAATTTGAAAAGCTTTTTTGAACAAAAAAAATAATTGTGCGTGAACTTATGTGAACAGTTGCGAGAATTTAATGAAATATTTAAATAAGCTTAAAACTTGTTTTAAGCTTATGGAAACTCTTAATTTTAGCCTTCTTTAGATTTTTATGAGACAAAAAATCTTTTCTCTCATTCCTGTGGGTGGTCATCCTCAAACCGGCGCTTTACCAGAGGCCTAGGAGATTGAGAGTTTTGCACGGTATCTTAGGTGTTCTTAATAGCTCTTATGGATAGAGATATCTGATATTGTTCCTGGAATCTACTAGAGCTAGGGGTCATAGTTCCAAGTGCTCCAATTATCACTGGGATTGCTTTGGTTTTTCTTTCCATGTATCTTCTCTAGTTCCTTTTTCAGCCCTTAGTATTCCTCTAACTTCTCTAATCATTATTATAAATATTTATAATATATTTTAATAAGTAAATACAATTTTTTAAATGAATACTAATAAATAAATATTAACCACTTATTTTAGTTGGGTTTACTGCCTTTTAGGTTCAGATGAGAAATTTTTTCCAGCGAGTCAACTGGCGATAGCAGTACATATAGGCTGCAAAAACCACTTAGATTTTAATACCAGGTTTAAGGCAAGAAAGTTAATATAAGCAATAAATAGCACAATAACCACGTGGTTACCCATTTATTTAAACACATGAAATATATTTATTTTGAATTTTCGCGTTTTGCAGAAAATTTTTTTCGGCAACAATAAAATTTCCATATTTTTCCAGAATTATTTTATTATTTTTTTTTTACATTTAGTTAACGAAAATTTATTTTATAACATCTGCTTTATTCGATTTAAATCCAATTTTCATTAATATAAAAATTCATTTTTACCAGTTTAAATCGTCGAAAATTTCTGAATGTTGAAATTCTTGAAATTGAAATTCTGAAATTTAATCGTTGAGTCGATAATCAGCGTTTGCTTAAGAAGCACTATTGTTTGCATTTCGTTGATTCATTTCTTTAGACGACAGTTCTCTGATAAAAAAAGGAATGTTGGGAGATATTTTTATAGCGATTAATATAATGTTTGTTTGAAATTGTGGAAGGAAATTCATAAAATAAATGTCGGAAGAAATAAGATAAACTGCGGAAGAACGTGGGGGAAAAAAATTGGTTTTTGGTTACTTAATTGGAAAATCGATTTAATTATCAGCAAAAATGAGTATTTTTCAACAAAAAATGTTTCATACTTTAGAAGGAAAACGAATTAAACTTCGGTTAAAATGATTCTGGAATAAAATTTTCTTTGAATTAAGAAGAGTGGTAATTTGGATTTTTTGTCGGAATTAAAAAATATAAATATCAGCAAGAATATAAATATTAAAAATATATTATTAATATATTTGTGTTAATCCAATGCAAAAGAAAATGCTTATATATCGCCGCCATTATTTTTTGCTATTGACAAAAAATTTTGAACATTTATTGAAGTTAGTCGTGAATAGAGAATGAAATAATTATAAATTTTTTAAAAATTCCAAAGATATCATAAAATTTATGAAAATTACTGTATACCTACGATAAATTCACTACTACTGCTTCTGTGGCTCTTAGCTGTTTACGCTCGTCCACTGGCTAGCAAATATTTTTGCCGTGAAACCACTCGACCATACAAATAGATTAGATCCTTATGCGAGCTCGATTTTTCAATAATGGATTTACTCGATGGCGGTAAAGATTGAGCCATGCTGCCTGCTCAAAATGCTTACTCAGTTCTGCTAAATTATTATATTTTTGTAAAAAATATATGCATATATTACAAGTTACGAATTTATTACAAGTTTGTTCAAAATTAAGTGAAACATTATAAATAATTTGCCAAAAATAATAATATTTCTCTGTAATAATAATATTTATAATAATAATATTATTATTATAATATTTTATAATAATTTTAAAGGTACATTTATTTTCAGCTTGAAAAAGCATTAGAAATTTTAAATGAATGGGACCAACGCGCGGCTTTGATCTGGTCGGAAGCTGAGCAATGTGTCATATCAATATTTACTCTTACTGATTTGTTGATGTACATACTTTCGGGCGAATTTAATAAAATGTCAACCATATATCAAGCCTTATCAGGAAATAAATTGATAACGCTAAGTGCTTCTTGCAAGTAATTATTTCCTTTAATCCTTTTAATGTATTCTTTATTATTCTTAATTTAAAATAAAATGGTTTAATTAGCCTTTTAAATTAATCCATTTAAAAAGCAATTCTTTTAAAGTAAAAACATTAAATAATATGTGAAATTTTTTCGGATGCTTTTTTCTTACTTTCATTTCTACCAGTAATGGCTTGATTTGTGATTATCATCGTGATAAGAGTACTGATAAAATGCAATCTCAAATGATTATATTTTCAAAATTTCTATTTTTTCCTTGCTTACTATTCATAATTTAGATTATTAGAGGCATGTGAAGAATTTTGCACAAATCAAATCCATCGGATAGCAATAACAGAACCATCGGGAGATATTCTTTACCTGTTGGACTTGAAAAGAATTTTAGAAACCGTTCACAAACAAGTTTGCCTTTTTTAAACAATCATTGGTAACTTCATTTTCATTGCGACAGGATTGAACTCACCTTAAATCCTCAAAAAATCCAACAAATTCAGCTGACTGAAGGTCGCCAAAAAATAATTCGTTTCTGTTAAAAACTTAATTTTACGAGTGTTGCAGATTTTTATCAAGAAAAGTATCAAAAAGAAATCTTTAATAACTAATAACTAACGATAACTTTTAACTAAACTTTTCAAAAATAATGTGCAAGAAAGGGCTGTGAAAGGATTTTAGTTTGCATTTGTGTATTGCTTTAAAATTTTATTTAAATAACTTTTGAAATGAAAATGAAATTATTTTTCAAGAATCGTTCATTGCATTTTGCGCTTTGGTTAAATTGTTGCATAAAAAATTGTGGAATCGGTACATGGAAAAGTATTCATTCGGTTTGTTGCCAAATATAATTTTTGTATTTTATTTCGTATGATTACTAACATGTTGGTTTCTGCCGGAAATTGGCACTCTGATGCAGCATCCTAGGCGTCCTTTGCAGGTCTTACATGAGGCGTTAGTATAAAAGTAATTTATAGGAATATAAAATAGAAGTTACAGTAGAATTGATGGCATCGTCCGCCACATCCGACTGCTTCAGTTACCTTTTACTGACATCGAGTTCTTGGCTTAAACTCTGCTTGATTATTTTTCAAATAAATGATGCAAAAGAAGGAAAAAGATAAATTATTGGTTTCTTTTGTTGATTTGAATAATCAATTTGCATTTGCAATAGATAAATAAGCACTATTGTTGAAGATTATGGAGGATGAAAGATTAATAGTGGCAATTCAAAAGATGATTGATCATCGTATATCAAGTTTACCAATAATTGATGGCGAAGGTCGAGTGGTCGATGTTATTTCTAAAGCTGATCTCGCTTATAATCTCAAATTTATTAACATCACCGATATTCAGGTGATTTTTAAATTTTATGATTTATTCTTGTTATCGACTATAAGTATCACGAATTCTCTCATCGGAAATCTCTTTTCACATAATGGTGAGGAACAAAGCATTTAACTTTTATTAATTCCACCACATTGTTTAATGCGTACTTCCATCAGAATACTTCCATCAACCTCATAGAGCTAGAAAAGCATATGCTAATACTTCGAGTTTTCAATTTTGCAGAAGTCCGGATCCATCTCCTTGTCCACCGTGTTCTCCTCTAAAGCCAATATTTTACTAATTTACTGCTTAATCGCTTTGTCCCCTCAAACCCCAAAACCACATCTATAGCCAATCATATGTGACAGTAGCAATCAACATTCAGGAATACTTCCATCGGCAAAGAGTAACAGAATGCATATCCCATCGGCAACCAACGATATTCCCATCCGCAGATCACACTGTCGGTTCCATACTCGACATCGTATTGAATAATCGCGCTAAATGCATATTTGTGACGGATTCAGCCAAGCATTTACTTGCTGCTATTTCACTTTCTGATTTCATATCATATATACTTTGCCATGAAGAAGTTCCTGATACTACAGTCTGATCCATCAAAATATTTTTTAAAAAAGCCTTTTATATGTGCCAAATTGGTATTTGACTGAATTATGTAAATTGATAAATATGTATAAAAGTAAATTTTTAAAAAATTTGTCCAATGTAATACATTCTCATGAACAAAAAATGTGAACAACTTATATATTTAACAAATTTTTCTAATAAACTTTTTTCACAACAACATAAACAATGAAAATAGAGAAAAAAATATCTTAGAATTTATCGATGCTCAATCATCTAACAAATTATGAAAATTCGAAATTTAATAGCAATGAATATGGTCACTTTTTCACAATTTGTTATTTCCCTTAGGCCCGATATACGTTAAACATAATGAAAAACAAAAACTCCTCGCCAAAAAATTCGATTAATTATTAATCTCCTCAGTAACTTCCCAGAGCTGGAAAAGCATCGGCTGATACTTCGAAATTTAGATTTTGCCGGAATCCTCGTCCATCGCCTCGTCCACTACGATGACTACGTCCTCCTCTAAAGCCATCTCGAACACGTCCGCCTCCTCGACCTCTTTGCTCATCAGTAAAATTGATCTCAATGTCCAATCGCTTTGTGCGTGGTTCGCGACGCTATAATTTCAAAAATTATGCAAAAATAGATATAGACGATGAGGGATAAAATAAAATCAAATATGAAATGTACGTAAACAGGGAAAAATGCTTGTTTACATGGTGAAAAATGTAGCCTTAAAACTATGAAACCACGGTACACTCGACCGAAACTCTGCTTTTTCTTGTCACAATCTTGAGAAAAATATTCTCAAGCCTTGTTAAATACTTCCTTTAAACGCTAAAACATCGTAAATTACTTTATTACTTTGCGTTATCATTTAATCTTAAATCATCCTAAGCTGCTTAGATCCAATTGAAACTTCTTAGTAGCACCCACCGTTATCTTTTATGCTTCCTTAATGCTCCTTTGAACCTTAGATTCCACTTTCACCGTGGTAGTAGTATGGGAATACGAGAATAAAATGAGGCGTGTTTTGCGGAATTTGCGATTTTGCAAAGCGAGCATCACTGTTTGAAATTCATGAGATAAGTATATATATACAATGAACTTCTCTTTGTGGATACTTTAAGTCTCTCTAAACCAAAGGCGTGAGATTTGAGGATTCAGCGCTATCTTAGCTATTCTTACATTGCATTCTTCTAGAGAGTTTTCATATCATTCCCGGGATCTGCTGGAGCTGTTTTCTCAGTTCACAGACAATTTTTAAAAAAACTGAGTCCACTGCCTTTTTACCAACACCGAATCCCTTCTCTCTCTACACTTCACATTACACATAAATACCTACTCAAAAATATTATATACTGGCAACTTACGACAACAACAATTTCATCAACAGGTTCTTCCACAATTTCACGCTTTGGAAGTGGGATAAGTTTCCCAAATTCCTTTTCGTTAGCACCTTCTCCTGCTTTGCGTATATTAAATTGTGGTTCAGATCGTTTTGCAGCAGTTTGTGCTTTGAATTCATCAAGAGTGAGTTGTTTCACTGTAACATCATTTTCCATTTCTGTGCGCTGTTCTTCTTCATTCTTTTCGTTTAAAACAATATTCTCTTTTCTCATTTTCTCATCTAGAAAACGATAACATCATAGAACTTTGTCCTGGATAAAAAACAAATAAAATCATTAAATGCAGTACTAAATCTGCTTTAACTATATCTAATTTTCTTTCATTTTGAAATAAAAAATGTTTGAAAATATAAGATTTCCAAAACAAATGTTTGCAGTGAAAAAACTGGGAAATCTGAGTAATCGTTCATTGTTTTTAAGCTTTTTGGTAAACTGCCTATAGCTAAAGTTAACCACAGATAACCCAAATGAAAATGATTAACCTTCGGGGGTATTATTTTCAATGTCCTCAATGGTTTCTTCACGTCCTGCACCTTCATTTGCCTTATTAAGGCTATCGCGTTTTTCGAAAGACAAACCAGTAGTTCTAATTTCATCATTCGTTCGATCACTTTGTCGGCCACCCCGAAGAAAACGACGCCGGAAATTCGCTCTACCACCGAATCCTCCACCATAAGATGCAGTACGGATGGATCCTCGATCAATGGCTTCTAAAACATTTAAAAAATTAGGTATTTAAAGGAAAGAGGAAATCAGTTCTAATTCTTAGTTATGGCTTGCTGAAATAAAATAAACCCAACCAATAGCATTTTCACCATTTTGAATTCCATTAACGGTGACATTAGGATCTATAAGTTGTTCATCGTTCCCAGTTCGAAAACCACCACGACGACTAAATAAATAAAAAAATTAATAAAACCATAAAAGTTTACTTATATTTATTTCACCATTTTTCTTCTTTTCATTTTTTGTCCATTTTATATTTTCCATTTTTCTTTTGATTTTATTTCTTAAAAAAGAAATGTTCGAAAAATGCCACAAAATTTTGTTTTTTCTTTTTTTTGACCCGATGAATCCTAAGTGATGACAAAATGCCACTAAATTTATATATTCGAAGAATGTGATGAAATTAAATGAAAATCCTAAAAGGAAAAGCTGAAAGCAATTGAAAGCAATATGCTGAAAAAACGAAAAAGAAAAAAGACCATAAGCATGAAATTAAAACAATAAATGACGAGAGAAACTTACAACCCTCCTCGATTGCCTCCTCTAAAACCACGAATACGAGGTCGGCCTCTAAATTCGCCAAAGCGCTCAGCAAAAACGTCACTTATTGGTGCTTTAATCTGCAAAATTATTAAATCATTTAATTCCTATCTTTTTTCGCAGAAACAAGTAGAATGGAAGATTTTACATCCTGTGAAGCAAGACGAAGTTCATTAGGTGCACCGCTATCTCGACTCTGTCCAACAAATCCTCGAAAGCGTCGACGACCACGACCACGTTCAACTTCGGGTCGATTTTCTTTATTCGCTGCAATAAAGAAAATCCAATTAAAACAAAATTTTAGCAATAAAAACTTTTCAACCATACATTGGCACCTTCGCCCACCATAGGAGCTGTTATACATTTTTACTGAACCCTATGAGAAATGGCATCAAAAGCGAGGAAGAACAATTAGGGCCTAAATTGAGATAATCTGGAAAGATTTTGAACGTACAGATGGACAGATGGACCAGAGATACATAGGCTTAGACGATAAAAAAAGAAAGGCTTCTATTACCGTCAGCGATGGTATCGGACTGAAAAACTTGGAAACGCCTTATAGCTAGCGGAGCCAGTCTAACTAACAATCTTTTAGAAGCAGAACCAGAAAATAGGAAAAACTTGGAAAAAATTGAAGTTTGATAAAATTAAAAACTGTGGCAGCAGTGGCACTGCTGAATGGTATATTGCTTACATTATTATTTTAGCATGGTCTTGTTTCTAGCAGCAGAAAATCGACCATTAAAAAAGCGTAGGAATCCATCTCTAGATAAAACAACTTTCAAACATTCGGTTCCTATTATTTCGACAGGATTAATTCTATCTATCTATAAATCTATCAAATCTATCACTGAAAGCCTAACAAGTACAGTGCTACATTTCCGTTCCTCAGGATAATCTCTAACGAAGGAATCTCATCCTAATAGTAGAATCGATAGAGTCAGTCAAATGGAGGAAACTGTTGGAAAAAACAATAAAAAAATATTCGATAAAAATCCTAAATGCGATTGTAAAATATACATTCTGCAACTTTCTGTGGAATAACCAATGTGGCTTTTTTCTTTTCCAATTCAGAAACTGCTGCCTTCAGTGCAGCAGTCTCTTTCTTCTTCCTAGCTGCTGCATGCCGATCTGCTTTCTTTTGACTAGCTGTTTTCTCTTCTTTTTTGCTTGCCGCCTCAGCTTTTTTCAAAATTACTTCTGGATCTTCATTTTCTAAAAATAGAATCCATGACAAATTTAAAAAAACCTTCGTCGTACTGGAATAGACACATCACTGAAACAAAATAAAAATGTCGATAGATGAAATTTCTATTTTTTAATATTCTTTTATTTCTTTTGATCTTATTCTTTAAATTTTTATTTGTTCTGTTTTACCAATTGCTAAAAAAGTATTAAAAAACAGAAATTATAACAATTAGAATAAATTTCTGCTAAATGAAATTCTTTCAAGTGCAAAATTATGCAATCAACGATTAAAAAAAAGAAAAATTAACCGTCATCGTTAAGTGTGCCAAATTTATTGGTAACAATAACACCGTATTCGACCATATTAACTGGTCCTTCAATTTTTTATTTTTCAGCAAAAAACTATTATTTCATTAAATATATTAGCAATTACTTAAATCACCTGAAAAATTAATACAATAAATCACATAAAATTTCAAAGAATGATAGCTGCAATCCAACTGCATTCAGCAAGAACTCAATGCAAATCGACTGCAAGATTTGTACGTTGTTTCCAAGCCAAGCCGACGTGTGATCTTGTCTCTTTGACGGCATCTTTCTCTTCCATCAACAAAGAATTGAGTTAAATTTATCTGGTTTTGTTGGTCTAGACTGTTTTACATTCTACGAACTAGTTTAAAAGCTCAATAACGAATAATATACTGCAGATATAAAAAAATTTTGATCCAATTTATAAAGCCAAAGCGATTTATCGTTTTGCAGCATATTTGCAGCATTTACTATTAGAACAAACTGCCCACTAATGATATTTTTGCATTATAGGCATCCGGTTTCAAAATAAAATGAACATAACTTTCCATGATATGTTTATACGTCATCAATCCATTATCACTGCGCTTATTTTAATGTTTTATGTTATATCTATTGCTTTATGTTATTACCAATGGCATTTGCTTGTTTCTTATCCCAACAGGTATGACTCGAAATTGGGAATGATGAATGTAGTTTAAAAAATAAAAACTAAATAAATTAACTGATTAAATAAAAACTAAACAAATTTTCGAAACAAAACTAAAATTTAGAAAGAAGATAATGGAACGGTGAAACTTTAAAAAAGTAGCATCACATACGATTGTCGGAAAAACGGGATTAAGTGGAAAATTCGTTCAGATGTGATGATTTAAACAAAAAAAAAGAAATTTAAATCAACATACACGCAAACACACAAAAACAATACACATAAAAACACTTAAAATTCCATGTTGCATCTCAGATACTTCCTTTGCCGCAAAAATCTTTTAGAATCAAAATTTTCTTCTAGAAACATAAAATAATTTGATTTGAAAAATTTTTCGTAAATTTTTAAATTTAAATGGGGTTTGTTAACAACAAATTTAAACAATTTTTATATTTCTTAAGGAAATAAGCCAACTAAAAAATCATTTCCTTAATGCTTATAAAATTTTATTTTTGAAAATAGCAAAAAAACATTTCAATTTGTTAAAAGTTCATCAAACTTTTCACAATTTTTCGATTAAAGTGGGACAAAAAAGTAAACAAAGAAGCTCCAACAAAGACAAATCATTTCTTTATTTTGAAAAAATTATAATTTAGCGAAAAAAGCTTTCTTTTGCAGTTCTAAAACTCTAATTCTAATTCTAATTCTAAAGTGCAAAAAAATTCTTTTCATTTAAACACAGATGAATTAATTTTGATAAAAAAAGGTGAAAACATAAATATAAATTAAAAATAAAAAATTGATCTAAATAAAAAACAAAAAAGACCATTAACGTATTTGAATAAAAAGGATTTTCCGTTCATTTAATGGAAAAAAGCGAATTTTTAAATTATTCCTAATCTCGCTGAGCGCCCACACCACAAGTACCACTCCTCCGGAAAACCCCATCCCTCCACCAACTGTCAAAATCAAACATTTCGTAAAAGCCGATAAGCTTTTCCGAAAAATAGGTAAAAATCCACAACCGAGCTGAATATCATTAATATAAAACAAATTGTAAATAAGTCGATGCTCAGTTTGTTTTATAAAACCTGAATGGCGCCAATTCGAATTACAATTATTCGCCAAAAATTCATTTCTCATAAATCACTTCGGAAGTATCGGAGGCTTATTTGCGTAGAAGGCTTACGTAATTTGCGTGATCGCGTGACATGGCCAATTGCCCAAGAGGTTATGAGAATTAACTGTCGGATCCTTAAGATTATAAGAGAATGCCAGAATTAACGACAGACTTAAACTGTGCCATATAAAGCAAAAGTAAGCTAAAAGTTCTTTACAATTCACATATCGACAATAAATGGAACTTTTATTACTGAAACAGTTTCATTAATGATAAATATCAAATCAAATCAGCATTCAGCGTTGTGATTTGTTATTTGGTTCTTTGTTTATTTAATGAATGCTTTATCATTATTATTATTTTGGCTTTTGTTCTTCCCATTGAGCTACCTCTTCAAGAGTCCTTTGGTGATGTTGCAATCTTTCTTGCTTCTCATCGTGGTTACCATGTGAGTGTGGAATAGCAAGATTCTTGCTGGCCTGTATGTTTTGACAGCAATTCATCTGAGTAGTAATTATTACTTTTCCTCTCTTTGTTACCATCCGGCCACATTTCTCTTCGAATGACAACCCAATGTCCTCACGAGTCATATCTCTTTCAATAACTTTTATAATAACTTGATGTTATCCATATGGAGAAAATTATTGATGGCAATCCTGCACTTATAGCCATATCCACTTTAGGTAATTATCTGACGAAGGGGGTTTAGAAAAGGATAAAAAATGCATCGCCTTGGTATATACTGCACACCACTGCTATCTCGCGCCATTTAATCGTTCCGCAAGTTGCTTTATGAAGAAGCTCTATATATATGTATATATATTTTATATATATAGATAGATATAGGTATATAAATATTTTTATTATTCAATAAAATTATAACGTCGGAATAGCGTATTAAGAAGAGCGGTGAATATGGATTGAACAACAATGGCTCGAATCGCAGCCAATCCTCTCTACTTTTCCTTGGGCGATGTCTGCATTATCTCGATCTCCCATGCCTCGCGTAGATGTTGGGAATGACTCACATACCACCCACAAAAGATGATAAGGAATTATTAACAGAAAGCTATTGCAAAATTTAAAAAAAAAATTTAAAATTTTAAACAAGTCGTATTACACACATTAAACCCAAAAATTTAAAGTACTTAAATTTATATATATTTAGATATAATTTATACATATACATTTTATACATATACATTTATATATGTTTTCACAAAGCATTATAATTATAAGTAAACAACAATACATTCACAACCACAACCTGTTGGACAATATGTATTTTGTTTAAACCATTCCAGTATGTGCTCAATGTGACCACCATGGTGACAGTATTCGCAAACAAAAATTAAACCTGAAATTAACTTGGATTTCAGGCAAAGGAAATAATCTAACAACAGAAAAGTACACGATGAAGACTGAAAAAGATTAATTGAAACTTGAATGAAAAGAATTAAATGAAACTTAAAATCACCTTTTACTCTTCCCTGGCAAATACCGCAAAGAAATGGGCTTAATTTTTCAAAGCATTTGTTGCAATATCCCTCATCAAATTTTTCTTCACAACTCGCACAATATTTGCGAACTATAAAAATTAAATGATTAATAATATAAACGATTATTCTATACATAGAAATCTTCCTAGTATTGTGTTGATAAAACTTGAAAAATAATAAATAATAAAAAAATAATAAACAAACGAAAGAAAGGATATGCGACTGGTGCATTTTCGTTATATTTTAAAATTTCGGCAGCTTTCGAATACATACACCATCTGAATAATAAATCAGCATACTGCTGACAAATTTCATTCAAATGATCTCGAATTTTTGGATCTATTAATCTGCAAAAATAATGTCTTTAATAAAGTGATAATCAGATATTTATTTATTTATTGATAACCAACCAAGCAGGGCGACAAGACCATGTGCTTGTATTAATAATAACAATTAAGATAACAGAAAAAGAAAACACAAAACAAAAAAAAAATATATATATATATATATAACATAAACAAAATTAATTATAAAACAATATGACAGAAATTAACAATTTAAAGAGGAAATTACAGATCAATATAATATAGTACAATTCGAAGTAACATATATAACCTGAAGATAAAATCGAGATTTCTCACTTCCTGCAGTTCTTGCCTGGTGTAAACTCTTCTCTTTTTTTTTTTGTTTTTAAATAATATCGTAAATGATATTATCTAGTCTTTTTTTAAAGACAGCTAGGGATGACGCACAAGCTACATCGTTCGGTAATTTGTTCCAGTAGTTAATAGTACGAATAAAGAAGTCATGGGTCCTTAGTTTAGTTTTGCATATAGGTTTTAGTAATTTTAAGCCATTAGTTCTTGTAGGATTCAAATTTAGTCTAAAGTTATAATATTTCGAGCAATCTAGTTTAACATAACCATACCATACAGAATCTTATATGTGTAAATTAAATCTTGTTTAATTCTACGAACTGAGAGAGAATCCATGTTATGTTGTAGAAGTGTTCTTTTATAATTAAAATTATAATTTTTATTAGGAGAGAGGCGTCTTAGAAAATATTTTTGGAGTCCTTCGATTATTTTGCCTGTTTTGCGATGTCTAGGGGAGTAACATATAGTATTGTAGTCAAGAAGAGGCCGAACGAATGCTTTGTATAATTTGATAAGAAAACTTTCAGTTTTGTTCTTAAACGAACGAAAAATTAAAATTTAGTATCTTTGAGGATTTCTTTACTATGGTTCTGCAGTGAAGATCGAAATCGAGATTTTCATCCATGATTATTCCAAGATCGGAGATGTGTGAGACTCTATTGATTAAATTACCATTTATAAAAAGGTTAGGAAGATCAAATCCTTTA